CACAAGTGAAAACCAGGTTTGCACCCTGGTCCTATGAATTTATGAAAGATGAAATGCTGATGTGTAAACTGGTCTTAAAAATAAAGTCCTTTTAATTTCATATTATTCAGGGAATAGGAATGAAGTAGGGTAAATAAGGATTTGAAGTATTTTGTTCAAATGAAGGTTAGACAAAAAAATGGGAATTATCTTTTTACATTATTAGGTTCCATTTCTCAATAAGAGGTTGGGCTGGTGCATGTTTTATATTGTTAAGTGTATTGACGTATTTTGCCCTCTTCAGTCAATATATTTTACTTGATACATCAACAATAAGGGCTCCAGATAATTTTTCAACATCAGAAGTACGTACTCCTTATTTTTTCAATATAGGAGTACTGGAAAACCCTAAGAGTACATGTAGAGTACTGAATGGAACTTATGGAGTATCAGTAATCTTGTGTTTCGTTTCATATATGCACCACAACATTGCTACTCTTGTGTTAACAGTACAATAAACAATAAAGCAATAATTTTTCAGATAAATACATCTGTAAATGATTTTAAGACCGTACATCATTGCTGTGGTGCGTATCTGCTACGTTTTCTAAACTATTTCCTATCGTATTGTGCTTATTTTCTATCCGTACATACGCCGATACGGCGCTTATCTGGAGCCCTGAACAATAAACCTTCAGAGATGTTAAGTTACCAACGATGCACAAAATAAACCAAGGAAATTAACATATATATGTCTGTTGCATCCTGTTCCTTCCTGTGATGTTTGTCTGGTGTGGGACTTCCTGTTTTAACAGCTCCATGCAGGTTATTTTTAGTGTTCAAGTACTGTTGCGGCAATGCCCATAAAAATCGTTGAGTGTTTTCTATGCCTAGGCAAATTTACTGCATTCTTCCACTGAAGTATTGTATTTTCTTTTTTTTTCCAGTCCTTTTATCAATCTGTTCCCTTCTCTGTGACCCGAACCCAGATGACCCACTTGTTCCTGATATAGCGCGAATGTTCAAAACGGACAGAAACAAATATGACGAGTTAGCAAAGGAATGGACAAAGAAGTATGCAATGTGAATTCCTCGATGTCCGAGGAAGAACATAGCCCTGAATTGCAGAACACAGCTGTTTGAAACAGACTGTGATTGAAGTGTATCTTCTTCTGTCACAGGCTTTATTGACCTTGCAAACAGAACTTATCCATGCGTTAGTTCTGCTAGAGGATTACATATGCCACGGATAGTCTGTTAAAAAGGCCTAATAATGTATAAGTTCAAACATTCTAAATTTCTACATGCAATGGCCTGTTTTGGTATTGTACCTTTAAGTAACATGTCACTGTTAAAATTAAGACGATTGGAAAAGTTCTCTAACACTTCAAATCACTGAAGACATTGTATTATTCAATATGACCAAGTGTTAGGCTGTTTGAGACTGTAATTTATTGTATGTTTTATCTTTGTGTGAATTAAAACTATTGTGATTAAACTTATTTGATTAATTGAGAGTTGGGGAATTTTTTGCCTGGAAATTGATCTGTTCAGGAAGCCTCGTCACTGATTACAGCAAGGGGGGATAACTCATTTTCTCTCTCCATCTGTGTCAGAATAGATGCAGTCCGTTCTGTTTGGTACTGTATCTGTGTAACCATGTGTGATAAATATTTAGTTTCATCAATGTACTTGTCCTCTACTGTAACCTAATGGTCACACCCTGACTGATAGTTATACCTTTTCTGTGTTCAGACTATCAATAACAGTCCTTAATCTGTTCTCAAGACTGCATTCCTCCTCTCTTGTATATTTTAGATTTCTTCAAAATGGAGGAAATCAGAAAAAGATTAATAAGTCAATCAGGTTTTAGTACTCATCCTCGTTTTTATAAAGACGTCTTCTGTTGTTCAGTTCAAAGTTACCTGCAGTCAGTGCTAAGGTTACAGTGTTCTTGGTATGATCCAAAAGAGTTATCATTTCTGAAAAATATGTACACTTTAAACAGGAAACAGCAATAATTGTGTTGATTTGAAACCATACCTGACACATCTGTCAGAAAATAATGAAGTGAAATAATTTTGCGGGGTTAAATTAAAGTTTGTTTTTAAGAGTCTGCAAAAATGGTAAATTTCTGATGGTAAATTTGGTAGTCCACAAGGAAATGTGACAGATCCACCTCAATTTTACTAGGTCTAGTGGGACCAAATATGTAAATTTTGAATCCTGAGGAATGAAATATTTTTCTGCAACTGTGACATTGGTGACTTTGTGTCCTAATTGCCTTGATGTTCATAATAGAACCAGCACATGCCTAAAACTGACTACACTGAATTTATACCTATGCACTTTCCTACCTAATTAATGTGCAGTGTGGGCAGTAAGCATGAAATCTTACCTGGTAACTGGAAAGTATTATGAATATTTGTTTATATTGCCTCAAATTTGATTGGAGTGGCAACAGTATCTGATAAGGTCAGTACATTTGTGTAAGTCTTTAAGGCTGCTGCTATTGAATTAATCTGAAGCCCAAGGATTCATTTTGGAATTGTAAATAGCATACTTGTTTCTAGACAGTCACAACATTGTAATTTTGGAAACTTTGATGTTATGTTTTTAAGTGTAGTTTGTCATTTTACCGAAATAAGTCTTGATCGTTATCATGTATTTTTTAACTCCTTAGTTTCATGGGAGCTGATGTTGTGGTCTGTTGTGAATGTGATATCTTTGAAAAATCCTCATAGCCTTCAAAGCAGAACCAGCTCTGATGTTTAAGTGTTGCTCATAGAAGCTGGTTTAAATTGTGGAGCTCAAGTCTTGCGCATTACAAATGTATTGCTTATTTAGTTCTTGGCTGTAGATAATGATGAACTGCATATCATGGAAAAAGAAACACAGCAGTGGTCTTTTAATGTTTGTTCCTTGTATAAAATATATCAAAGGTTACATATGCTTTGACTTTGGGTGAAAGCGTAACCTAAACACTTTGTCTATATATGACAAAATGTAGGATAAAGGGTATGAATTTCCTTTAGGAAATGATGGACCTGAACATTGTTTCTGATGTGAAAAGTGACTTCCGACTTGGACTGAAGAAAGTGAATATGTTTTACATGTTGGAGATAATGCTCCTGAAACAGCATGGCTTTATTCAGTGTCTGATCTTCGCACATGAACATTGTTGTTTACTATTTGAATGATCCAGTGCCTACGTGGTTTATGTCAGTGCTTGCTTGTAGTAACAGCAGCATGTTCTGTGATCAACAGCTCTCTTGACTCTGGTATAGTCCCTCACTGTTTCAAGCAGACGCTCGTGACCCCATTACTCGAGAAATCTTCTCTGGATCCCCTGGATCAAACCTTCCATTTCTTTCTAAAATAATGGAAAAAGTGGTCTTGAAGCAACTCAATGAACATGTATTCAAATATGATACCAAGGAACCTGTTCAATCTGCGTACAGAAAATCCCATTCAACAGAAACTGCTCTACTGAGGGTGTACAATGACGTACACAGGAAGTTGTTTTGCTGGTGCTGTCTGCGGCTTTTGACTCTGTTGATCATTGCATTTTGCTATCCCGCCTCAAGCACATCTTTGGCGTAGCAGACATAGTTCTAGCTTGGTTGGAATCTTACCTTGAAAAGAGATCTATGAGCGTACAGATTGATGGAGTCTGTTTTGATCCCAAGGACCTTAAGTGTGGAGATCCACGAGGATCTTTGCTGGGTCCTGTCCTCTTTTTGATGTACATGCAGCCTCTAGGAAGTATAATTCATCAGCATTCACTCAACTTCCACAGTTATGCAGATGATCAGCAGTTGTACATTGGCATAAGGCATAACAGAATCCAGGACGGAGTCCACCAACTTCAGCTGTGCATCAAGTGCATTCAGGATTGGATGTCAGCTAATTTTCTAAAGCTTAACAGTGATAAAACTGAGTTTATGGTCACAGGAACTCCCTACCTCCCTGCCTGTAGACTCCACCCATCTGATCAACTCTAGCTCTGTAAACTCTTTACAAGCACAAAGTTATCTAGCCAGGCTTTTTCAGTTGTGGCTCCAATTCTGTGGAACAGCCTCCCAACATCTCCCAAAAGAGCCGGCCTCGGTTGAGTCATTCCACCATGACTTGAAGACCTATCTTTTCAACCAGTAACTGAACAACTGAACAACCACCGGTTGGAAATTAAATGTTATACAAGTGCATTATTATTATTATTCTTTGATCTTTGAAGCTGAAACTTGTGCTATCCTGGATGGAGTTTGTTGACTTTGTCAATTTGTGGTCAGTTGTTTTGCTCAATGTCTTGATATTTGTTTAATTATTTTTGTGTATTATTTTTTTTATGTTGGGGGTGGAGGGGAGGCTGTCGTGGACAACTTCCTGTATGTAGTTCTTAAGGTTACATTTAGGAACTTGCGATTGACAGGTTTCAAGCTCATCTTAATTCTGCAGCTATATCATACCAATAATAGGCCTTAAACATATGCACTTCCTCATTCAGATAAATTGTCTTATGTGCAAGTAGTTTAACAAGAATGCAACCCTTCCAACCCTTGAAACTCAATTATTTGCAAGCAGATATTTTGATGATGGTGGATAACTTGAATTTTCATCTTTTCAAAGACAATACCAGACATTATGATTTTGATGCGGACAATTGCCCAAAGTAGATGTTTAAGCTTTCAGGAGAGCTAAAGTGCTGTGGTGCCATTACTAATGTTCCTGATTAATTCCCACAGGAGCAGGCAGGCAGGCAGGCAATAGCATTAGCACAGTGTCCCTTTAGTTTATTTTTTTAATGGCTTTTGGCTCTGATACGTTGATCAGTAAAGAAGATTTTATTCCAATCTCACGAAAATGAACTTCATTTTATCGCAACCAGTGCCTTTTCAGTTCAAATAGTTTTGAGAATTGCTCTTTGGCTCATTTGTAACTCTATATGAATACTAATCATTGCAAGTTCTGACATGTCAACTCATTTTCTTTAGTACTAAAGCCTATTTTCTTCGTTCCAGTGCTTTTATCTATCTGTTCCCTTCTGTGTGACCCGAACCCAGATGACCCACTTGTTCCAGAAATAGCACGAATGTTCAAATCAGACCGAGCAAAGTATGGTTCAACAGCAAGGGAATGGACAAAGAAGTATGCCATGTGAAATGTTAGGCGGTTATGGAGAGGACACAATTTACCATAACGACAGCATCTGCGATAGGAGTAAAATGTCATCAGTCATGGACATTTTGTAGCACTGTGAATCTTTGGAGTAAACCTCTCTTGGACTTGACATCTCTTGACTAATATGAGAATATCCTTTGCATTGCAATTTCAACCCACTCCTTCCCAGAGAGGCTTACTCTTGGTGAGAACTCTTCCATTTTGTTGGTCATTTGTTTGATAGTATCATATCCATTTATCTATAGCATTTGTGAAAATGGACAAAATTCCTGGCTTATCTTAAAATTAAATTTGCAAACAAATGATCACACCTATGTTACAATTATTTGAAATATTAGCATGTTTGTTCCTGGCTAACAATACAAATATCCCACAACATGTAATGTTATTTAGGTATTATTATGTAATTCTACTGTCGGCCAAAGTGCTATCGATCTATGCTATAGTGCTATAGTGAACCTAAATTGTCCGTCAGTTTGCCTGATGAGACACACTTTTTGATTGTTTGTGTATTTATTAGTCAGTGTCATGTCAAAATTAACTTAATTGTTTACTTGATTTTCTACTGTGTTCTTTGTGCACCCATAATCCTCTTTATGTAATTGAAATTAATTTTAGAAAAATATTTGCAGTATCTTTTGGCGAAGTTATTAACGATCATCTGGAACATGTTTGATCCATGGTTCCAAAGAAGAGTGAAACCAACTTTGTGTCTATGTGACGCTACAGCAAAGAATTACTGTCACTCAAGAGAGACAAGAAAGAAGGGAAAAGTAGGCCTAATGTTAAGGACCTGGATGGCATGACCAGTTGGTTGGATTTAAGTGTGGTTATGGCTTTAGAGTTTGGTCTTTGTATTACAAACTGTGATAAGACATATCTGTTACATCTTAAAAAGAATGCTTGACAGGTGGAAGATGGCAATTTAAAAAGACATTGATTAAGCTGATATCAATTTAGAATACTCCAATTCAAAAGGTCAGTAACCATTTTAACAGGATTCACTTTGGAACTACTGTTACATGAAAGGGGCACTATGTAATATGTTTCAGCTCATATGAACTTTGTTATCGGGCCTGTTTGTCATTTCTTGTTCAATGTCATCTCTGAAATCTGGGAAATGTTAAAACAGCTTCATGTTGCTACCGATAATGACATAAACATAAGCTATTAACAGTCTGTCAGGACTTTTTTTTATATTGAAAACAAATGACTGGAGAATATTGAAGTTGGCAATATCATCCCATCTGGAACCACTTGATGGTTGAAGCTAATTTGTGGCAGTAACTCCAACAGTCAGTACAAGATTTCTTCAACTGTTTCCGAGCAAAAGTGCTTCATATTGTGAAAAACAAAACACAATATAATCTTATGTGAAGTTACATATGACTTCAGCAGGCCAAAATTGTTCCCATTTTTACCCCTTGTCTGCATTATTGCAAGTTTAGAAACAAAACAAGTCAGTTGCAGTTAATTTAGTGTCTTTAATAATGTAAACTGTGTGATATAAAATGAGTTCAGTGCATATGATTTGACTCATAAATTATAAGTACTTGCGCATTAGCATTGAGACTTGTAATTAATGTGAGAGTATTAATGCTGTCTTAGAAGAAAAACATTGTTCCTTTATTATACGATTTATAAATATCTTATTGAGATACAATACCATGACTGCCCTTACCTTTGAATCAAGGTATCATGATCAGCATATATGCATCTGGTTACCTTCTCATCAGCTAAAGTTCCACTGTGGTTTTCGGAAAATGTCTGGTGAAAATATGAACAGGTGAGGTACACTTCTGTGGCACTGCATGTTACTGTGCCTTTGTACGAGAACACCAGTATCTCCACCTCTCAGAATCACATATGTTACATCATTGAATACACTGAATGTTGAATAACTTTAGGTTTGCAGATTTTAATTACAAAAGTTGTTATGGGTAACAACAAGTGTCTGTAATATGAACCAACTAATCATGTTTGTGTTTAAAAATACATATATGTGAACAGAATGTAACAGTTTATTATGCCTAAATACACACTATGATCCTAAGCCTTTCTCATCAGGTCATTGACTGTTCCCAGTTTTCTGTAAGGCTTGGTAAAATGGTTACTGACAATGCCATCCTTTCTGTTCATGTCACCACCACATTTAGTTCAGTGTGGCAAGAAATTTAGGACATGTTCCTGGTTAGAATGAACTGAACCTGTGTTGTATTAAGATAGAAGTATATCCTGATAAATCCATTTGGCCATATGTACAGTGGGGGGGTTGTGTATGAAAACATTTATATTGCAATAAAAGTGTAAATTTCTTTTATGTCTTTTTGTCTTGATTTGAAATTACTTATTTTCTGGGTGTATTTTGTTCTTGGTTTTGTTGTTATCGTTGTATGAGTTAGTGCTGATAAAAGTAATGACTTCATCAAATTTAGTGTACAATAAGAGATCGAATTTAAGTGTGTGTAAGTTCAGTATTCCTTACTGTTATTGTATGTTGTGGTATAGCAAAACATTTCCGAGTTTCTCAGCCTCCAAATGGCATGCAAGTTGTCTGTGTGGAAAGAACACTACCTTTTTAACTCAGACAGAAGTTAGAAAGAGATCATCACCAGTTCTACAAAGCTATTGGAATCAGTTCCCAATTGTTTGTGCAGCCTGGGCCAATGTCCGATTATGGTTGGAAGGGAGGTAACTCTAACTGGAAGCAAAATAGGAGATGTTGAAAATGACTTCATTCTAAGATTACATCTTATAGCCTAAAAAGAGATTATCACTAAAGAAATTCTAGTAAATATTAATCATATTTATAGTCTATAGGTTGCAGATTACACCAGATATTAGGTACAATCCCCACACACTTTGGATGTTACTGATTATGTACTGGTTACTGCAGGTTCAATTGCATGTTGATGTGTTCATTTTCAGGAAGAACCTACTTGCCCAACATGACATCATTTGGATAGGTCATTATTTTGTCAGTCAAATACCACATACCAAGACTTCAAGTGTGGAGTTTGAATTATGTTTTTGATAAATATCATGTCATTTTTAGGCATGGGCAAGAAGCACATGAGTGTATTTTGACTTTTGTGATCAGTTGAAGTTTTAAAGTGGATTGGCCATATAAGATTCCTCATTAATGGCAAGTGCAGCTTGTAGTTTACCCAATAACTCTATACAAACAAATTTTATTAAATCATAGATGAATAGATTATTTAATACAATCAAATGGTTAAAAAGTATAGGTAACCAATTTAATCAAAACAATCAAACGGTAAACAAATTCAGTTAACCAATACATTCAATACAGAGTGTAATAAGAATTCTAGTGCTCACTAATTAAGTACACTGAAACTGTTGAAAAAAATACAGCTGATCTACATGTTGCAAGCATTTCATTCAATTTCATGACGAAGCATAGTAAGAGACTGGTTCTATGACAGTGACAAAAACTGTTGGTAGATTTGTCAGAATAAATTGATGTTAGCACATATTATGTTCGTTGGTAAGACATCATACAGGATTCTTGCTTAATAATAATAATAATAAAATATAATAGTAATAGTCCGTTCATCCATGCACAATGTATGCTCGAAGTGCACAAACAATCTGATTATTAATACCCCAGATAACCCAAGCTGTCTGTCAGGTGCTGGAGGGTTACAGTCACATAAGTTTATCCCACCCATTTTCTGCTGGGTGAACAGTCAATTTTGAACAAACTCACTTGCCCAAGTTGAGACATATATCATATGCTTCGTTGTGGGGCAGGACTGAAGTCCTTGAAATTTTCGGGACTCCAGCTGCCAAACAAGGTCACCTATCCAAGGACTCTGCACCAGTTGCTTAACTTCACCTGAGTTGTGACCTATTAGTGACACACAACAGTTGAGTTCCAAACTAAGAGTATGTATGTCATGAGCATAACATACCAGAGAATTCTCCAGAACCTCCATAAAGGATTACAGGAAATAGTAAAATATGTTGGCAATTTTCTTTGCAAATTGTGGGGTTTGTATTGCCCATCATCTGAGGTACTACAAGGCACCTGTCGGGGTTGCGACCCATGGGCACACAAGAAACCAATGACCAGTTCAAAATTTGCTCCCGGATTACACATTCTGTCCTTTGTTGGTACCATATTCTAAGGCTTCACTCATCTGCAGCTTATACGAATGTGTGTGGTTGGATGTCTCAAGTTCTCAAGTTCTCCTTCAAATTGATTGTGGGTTTACAAGATTGTAAACTGTAATTAGTGTCAAGATGCAGTTTCTCAAAATAGCCCTGAAAGTGTGAGAGATCAACTGAGATCATAGATGCGCAAAGCTATTGGATTGAGTATTAAAAACTTGACAATCACTATACATGCACCACTCTTCAGACAATTAAAATCTTCACATGGAGAAATATACAAGAGGATGTGTTTACTTTTAACAGTGTCAGTTTTATACACTCATTCAAATGGAAAACACAGACTGTTGAGATATATATATATCACAGTGGGGAACTCAGATGAACTTCCAATGAGCCGAGTTTCCAGCTGTGTTTCAGAAGTCTGGGTTCCAGCATTAGAACAGATACCCTGCACTTTCTGCTAGCAGGGAAATCAGAAGTCTGGGTTCCAGCATTAGAACAGATACCCTGCACTTTCTGCTAGCAGGGAAATCAGAAGTCTGGGTTCCAGCATTAGAACAGATACCCTGCACTTTCTGCTAGCAGGGAAATCAGAAGTCTGGGTTCCAGCATTAGAACAGATACCCTGCACTTTCTGCTAGCAGGGAAAGCAGGTGGATGTCAGGTCCTACACTTTAACACAACTGGACCCTGATCAAACCAAGCCTCATATTTTCAAAGCAAATTTCGGATACGTGAACTGTGGTTTCTGCAATGGTCTGGCAGTATTGGTGTAGAATTCAACTCGCACTCGTCAGGCAAACACTATGTGGTTTGAAAGGTAAGACTTGTGACTGAACACTGGCTGAAGTTACATCTTGAAGTTCTCAGTTTGTTGTGAATGCCCTTTCGAACATTTTTGGTATTGCTGTGTGTAAGTCGTTTTTGTGGGAATAGAAATTGTTGTTAATGTTTGTAGTAACTGTTGGTGTTTGAGTAATTAGTTGTACTGAGACATCCTGGGACACGGGATCTGTGTTGATGTTTGAGTGAACATGTGGGTTATTGTTTATTTATTTTCTTCAATTTACTTTTATTTTTAATGTAAGACTTTTGATTGTTGTCAGTGATTCTGCTGTGTATCATTTTGCCAACACTGATTCCCTCCCTTAGTAGCTTCCGGGACGGTGGGGTAGCCTAGTGGTTAAAGCGTTGGCTCGTCACTGAAGACCCGGGTTCGAATTCCCCACATGGGTACAATGTGTGAAGTCCATTTCTGGTGTCCCCTGCCGTGATGTTGCTGGAATATTGCTAAAAGCGGCGTAAAACCAAACTCAGTCAGTCAGTCAGCCTTAGTAGCTTCCCTTAATCTTATTTATTTGGCTGGGTTGAATTTGTTCGAAGGCCATGTGTTTGGGGCAGTAAGGATGGGTTCATTAAAGTGCTAGGTTTTGAATGGACATTAAATGTTCAACGTGAATTTAAAGGTATCAAATGTACAAATGTTTAATCAGGTTTTGCCATGACACAATGTCAAGACAAATGCAAACACATTGAATATGAGCCTCATAATTTCAGTTGATTGAAAGGGCGAATTCAAGGATGGTGAAGTTGGGTTTTATGCTACATGCATATGTTTGCTTCCGTGTACCCAACCCATAAAGCTAGTGAGAATGGCCCTCAATATCTGTACATCACACCCTTTAAGTAACATTTTATCATGCTCCTACAACCTATTGGATTGTTCATATTTTCATGACTTCTTCTCCAGTCCTGTACAGACCCTTAATGAAGTGAAAATGGTCTGATTTGCGAAACACATGCAACTGTTTAAACATAATCTGTCATCAGCAACAACATGATCTGCCATGACATATCAAAATATATACACAAAGAACTTAATTAAGCACCACCTGTATTTGTTGAAGTGATAGGATTTCAACAGGTACATAAAACCATCCTGGTGACCGAGATGGAAAAACAGAGTTTTTCTGACCCGTATGATCCTTTGACTCATAAAAACGACAAACTGATTGGAATCCATATTGATTTTTAAAAAAAATAATTTTTTATGTGAAATATGCTCATTTTTAAAAACAAAACAAAACAAAAAAACCCACTGATTTTCATACAATACAATGTCTGTACAAGTATTGTCCTGGAATGTTTAATGTTGGATTTATTGGTAAATGTGAACATTCAAAATGTCATTTTGCGTGTTTTACACGATTCAAGGTCAGTACCGAGTGTAACCTCCATGTGATTGTATGACAGCCAGCACTCTCCTCTTCACAAACCCTGTCAGCCTCCTAATCCTCTGAAGGGCCAGTCTACGCCATTCCTGGTGCAAGGCAGCTTCCAATTGGGTCATGTTCTGTTACAAGAGGGGGATGGGTGGTGTAGCCTAGTGAATAAAGCGTTCGCTCGTCACGCCGAAGATCCGGGTTCGATTCTCCACATGGGTACAATGTGTGAAGCTCATTTCTGGTCGCCACCGCCATGATATGGCTAATATACTATGCTAAAAGCGGCGTGAAACCAAACTCAGTCACTCACTCTGTACAGGATCCCATTGTGGCACAGGACGACCAGATATGCTCCTAAGGGTTAAGATCGGGGCTCGTGAGGATGCGCTTAACTATGTTCTTTGTGTATACTTGATTGGTACGCCAGATGCGTACACGTTGCACCATGATATTGTATGACAACATTTGAACAGTGAGGATCATAGTTGAGGTAGACGAAGGGCAAACATATCTCTTAATTCGTCCATTTGACTAGATGAAAATTGTTTGGTTTGGTTGTTGGAGATTTGGGTTTTTTGTTATTGTGTCATAAATGACTGGAGACTTAGAGGTTTTTGTACTTGTAAATTTCGTTCTAAACCCAGTAAATGAAGGTTCCTTAATTTTGTTATATAAAAATACAATCAAAATGTTGGACTCCGCCAATGATGTTTCACTCCACACTTTCGCAAATAAGGAGGAGCTTGAATAATGAAGATAAAACTACTGTGCCTTGAAATTTTAGGTACTCTTTTTAAAGAATACAAACCTCGTATTTTTAATTTTAAATCTCGCACTACCGCGAGACTAACCCAAATTTCTAATTGGACACCATAGGCGGATCCAGAGGGGAAGTTCCTGAACTGTTGATGAATGGATTCATCCTCATGCATGGGTGCGCACCCCGTTTACTGT